CTTGGATCTTGGCCTTCACATTGTCTTGCACGGTACCATGAACGTGGTAGCAGCCGCCATGCTGGACCGCTCCACACCTTGCCAAATCAAGGGGATGCCTACTGAGTAGGCCGACTTGCGCTTGCAGAGCCCGAGCTCTGGCCGCGCTTGCACACAGCTGTCACAGTGAAAGAGTGCCAGGCAGACCAGCGCCCTTCCATACTGCAGTCACGACAACGGATCTGACCCAGTGAGTCCTCAACATGCCCCAACGAAACAAAGTGCTTCCCACGCTCAACTGCAGTGCGGTTGTGCAGGATGAGCTTCAACAATCGGTTTCTCATGACACCGCCATAGCCCTCCAGCATCCCCTGCTCATGAGGCGTGAGCTCGTCAGGATCTAAGCGGGCTGGGCGCGCAGCGACACGGGCTTTAGGAAGAGGAAACTCCACCGCAACTGCACCTGAGGACCTCGCAGCAGGTGCCGCCTGTTTACCACGAAGCCGCCGTGGAGCAGGGGCATCGGCAGCAGGCTTACGAACTCGAACTTGGCCTCCGTCACGGTCGTCAGGAGGAGCAACAGGATCATTTCCAAGCTCCTCAGCAAGTTGTCGCCGGCGCAACCAGGCACGTGCTCGTTCAAAGCTGCAAGGAGCACCCGGCCTCCACAAGGGGGGGGGTGCTCGGTCAAAGTTTGGCGTCCACTTGAAAGGAACATTGGTTGGGTTTGAGTCTTGGGCCTTTGGGTCTGGGTCTTGGGATTCTGGCTGTGCGTCAGTCTTCAACGGATGCTCCATGATGCTCCAAGAACCCTTCCACCTTGTTTTTTTTCGTGATGCTCACTGACGATGCTCCATGATGCTCCATGAGCCCTCCCACCTTATGCTTCATGATGCTCACTGACTCATCGCAAAGAAAATGCGAAAAAGGTGCGGAAAAACCCAAAACAATAAACCCTAAACCCTAAATTTCTGGGAAAAAGGTGCGACAAAAACACCCTGGATTCCTGCTTGTCCGACCTTTAATTAGAACTCCAGGGTGGTGACTTCATTCATTCATGGTGCTGCAGTGCTGCCTAACATTTTTGCTTGACAGACTCCACAAGTAGCATCCAGCACGCTATGGCGCAAAGCACCCGGGGCAAATTTACTGTGGCGAAAGTGGCCAAGCTTGTGAAGGCCAACCGATGGTCAGTAAGCAAACTCCACAGTGACAAACGCATCCTCGAACGCAGTGCGTTTTAGCCGCAAGCCATTACTCATGTTGTTGCTACTTTGTCTTTAGAAAAGCAGCGCAACAAGTGTTGCATCTTTTTTGATTCAGGCATATGAATCTGCTTGGGAGCTTGCTGATGTAATCTCACAAGTGCTGGAGAGTGCGGAGCGACACAAGTTGAGAAAGATGGACGCGGAGTCTAGAAAGATGAACGAGGCGATACTTTGTCAAGTTGCCAGTGATTTTCTTGATCGAGCGAACAGCTTGTCAAGTCACAGGGAAGCAAATTCGAAGCCATAATTAAACATCCCAACCATTTCAAATGACTTTGGCGGCCAGCGGCAAAAGTCTTGTTTCTGTATGGGGGGGGGTGTGTGTATAATTTCATGGTCCCCAATTGGCTCCCCATAATGAATTCAGATGACCCCAAATATGAGTAGTGCCCTCCCCAAAGACCAACTTCCGTTTCTTGCCTCTCCAAGTTCCGAGTGCCACAACGCAAGACGCGCCCGGTTCTAGACGCAGGCTCCAGCATGCAAATTATCAATTTTAACTTGGTGAGCCCTTGAGGCGAAAGCCCTAAACCCCTGAACCCATAAAAAGTCTTAGTCTGAAACCCATGTATTGTCTGACAAAAGCCAGGAACACGAAGCTCACCCTTCGGACAAATCCCCTCCCCCAGAACATGTTCACAAGCCTTCAACAACACAATTGGGAATTTGCCAACAATCCTCACACCAATCTTAAGGACCTGCTTCGGGGTTGCCACATTTCCATCTCGAGTTAGACACGGGATCCTTTTACCAAATTGTACTATAGGGCCTCGGCATTTAAAGATAGTAGCTGGCTAACTCGAGACGGCAATGTGGCTGGGTGTCTTGGTCATTTTTTTGGCCGGAATGATGGATCTGGCTGCCGCTGTGCGAATGGCCTGCCGGGAGCCAAAGGCAAGCGCAAGCAATGATGACGGTGGGATCAAGAACAAGTTTTCTTTCGAGGGTCTGGCAAGAGCACAAGTACGGAATCTTGTCTTAAACTTAATGTAGAAGCGACCGTGTTGCCTCCAATCTAAATACAATTCGCCCAGCCAGGAGTCTGCAGAATGTGAAGAAATCTCCTCCGCCAAAACGGCGCCATTATGATAACACCAAGCGAGCCGCAGCAGCTGCTGCTGCTGCAAAAAGCAAGACTAGGCCAAGGCAAGGGCATCAAATTCAGGGAACCTCAATCCTTCAATCTAGAACCCCCACCCAGAGGTGCCTGGATGGCTCAACTGGAGTCGAAACGGCCTTGGCATGGAATCGTTGCTGGTGCACTAGGCACGACTGCTTCAGGAGGCTTCGCTCATCGAAAGGCGATTTGGTGGAGTTCGTGAAGGGTTTCAACAGTCTGGGTAAGGTGGAGCAGGATGCTTTTGCTACCTGCCTGAGTCTGAAGAGGTTGGTGTAGGTTGGTTTGGGGTCTTCAGATTTTTTGGAATTTGGTGGAGAACCTTAGAAAGTCTTTGGGTAAGATTCAGGAGAGGGTCGTGGTCAACTCTGGATAGCCATTATTGATATTGTTTACTACTACTACTACTACTACTCCTCCTACTACTACTACTACTAGAGGTGCAATGTAAAGTGCTCAGCCCAGCCCAGATACTCGCCTACTATCCCAAGCAGTACGCCTATCACTTACCCTCAGCCCTATGTATCCACATGAGACCGCCGCCCCCTAAACCCAAATCCCAAAACCCGAAGCCCTAAACCTCGACTGGCACCCCATATGTAGCGCTGTCCTTGGGGGTAGGCAGTGTCCAATGCACTCGCTTCATGCTTCTTTCGTGACTGGTTACAGGTAATGTTTTGCAATCTTGATAGACTTCAGTGGTTGCATTTCTATGTTATAATACTACCTGTGTTGGTTAGGGTCTGTGGCAAACGCATCCAAGATTCTGGACTGTGTGCAGTCACCGTCTTCGGGGAGAAGATTTTACAATCTACCCGGAGTTGAAGTTGGACTACAATGCATGTGTACTGTAATGGGCATCGGCAAGAACCGTCTCCTCAAGGCTTCTTCGGGTATGGTCGATTTGCGGTTTTCAGCCAATGTACCTTTACATCGCTCAGCTCCAGTATCCCGATCGGTTGACATGTTCCTGTTGGAGCAGCACGCACGCATCGCCGAAATTCTGCCAACAGGGTCTGAATCTTAACTTGTAGCACCAACGCCTTTTTTGTCTTGAAGTTTATCCCAAAACCCGCTACTGGAATCCCATTGAAGTCCTCCTAAAAGCTATTTCAAGTTTTGAGTCCGTACCCCTCAAGGTTTGTGATGCCCAACAAGAAACGTTCAGAATGCGCTATTTCCTCCACACTAGATGACCTGGAGCTCAATGGCCAAAACCATGACAATGACCAAGATGATCTTGCGTTGCCGGGAGAAACTTTAGACGAGGATGAGCAATTACGATTGGAAATCAACGTAGATCGCGCCCTGTGGGATAGGCTCCTTGCCCCTGATGATATTTACAGCAGACAAGCCCTCACCCGGACCCCGAATAGACTCTAGACCCTTCCTTCTCAGGCAGACGACGACCCATGGGCTGCACATTGAGCAGCTCCCAAGGCGTTTCCTTCCTCCTGGGAATCTATCCGATCTCTATCGTCATTATTGTGCCCTGAATCCTCACGACAAGGCATCGCCCCTTATCTTATTAGAGATTCAATCTCATTTTTGCCTTGCCCAGCCATGATCTAGACTCCTTAAAAGGGGGTTATGTAAGGGAGTGTATTAGGCATTACTATACCAATTACTAAGGGGGATACTGGGAACTTAGACTATGGCTCAAATGAAATTGCACTCCCTGGGTGTCATCCCCTATGATCCAAGGTATTCATCCTTTAAGCAGAGGTATCAGGCAAAGTGGGCACAGTGCTTGCCGTTTCGAAGTGCCTCTGAATTTGCCGAGTGCAATGAATGCTTTAATTTGAAGAAGCTCATCAAGGAAGAGAAGGCAAGGGCCTCCAATATCCCCTTTACCCATTCTTAATTCCTATCCCTCAGCCCCTGCCCCTGAAAGGACATCGTGAAGCGCTTCTCACATATTCGTGATTACAAAGAGCATTTAACGGCAGTGGCGCTAGATCGTGATTTGGAGCACTTTTTCCAAGGCCTTGATCCAATTTCGAGCAATCACCCGACCATGTTTATACAGATTGATGGAATGGATCAATCAAAGTGGTCCTTGCCACGGCTGGTGGCCCGCCGGGGGAGCAAGGATCTTCAAAAGTTTATAAGACCAAGGCTCAAGATAGTTGGGGTATGGTGCAGCCACTATCTCCTTTCGTTGTACATTGTGGACGCAAATTTTGCCCATGATTCTTCTTTGACATGCGAGGCTCCTCACATGCATTTTGGACGGTATTAGGGACCACAATTTCCCATCAAACATGAACAACAGAGCCCCCCCAAAGTAGCCTTGGCCCAGAAAAGGGTTGAGCCTTGTTTTACCCCTGTAGATACCTGAAGCCTGCCAAAATTTTAGATCGCAACGCATCTGACCTCAGGTATTGTCCAGGGCCATCGACGATGTGATGCAGTTCTGCGAGAGCAATTCCTTCACGAAGCCCAGAGAGATGGTTCTCTGGGTTGCTTAGCTAAAAAAAGTTGGGGCCAGATCAGCGCTGGTTCTGGGAATTGCACTTGGTGTTTCTGCTTGCCCAAGGCGGATAATACCGTCCGTGAAAATAAAAACCAGTGGATGCTGAGTTATTGCGCGTGGTTGGTGGCTTCCAAAAGAATGCAGACAGTCTCCTTCCTATTCTCGCGGGTGGGGCACACCCATTCCAGGCTGGACGCACTCTACGGACTATTGTCTGTTGCATTTAGGCACCTTTCCTGCCTCCTGGATATGACTGATGTGAAAGAGCTTCTTGCTTGAGATATCTTGAGATCTAGCTGGAGGAGTGTTTCATCGTAGTGTTTGGGATCACTGCTACACCATGTTGCCTTCTAAGGAAGCTCGAAGCTTTGTTGGAGAGATTGAATATCCAATCCTGGGTTGGTCCAGATGCCACAATGAAAGTCATTATCCTTGGGCATGTTCGAGACTGGGCACTGTGGTTGCTCAATGAGGAATGGTTAGCCGGGGGAATCTAGTTTGTTGTGTTCTTAGTCTTATCAATCCCTGGTCTCAGGTTCGGGAACTTGAGGGTGCACATGCACGGCGGTCTCTTGGTCACTTCGGAAGGAGTGCATTCCTTCACATTCCTGAGGAGACATGGTACCTGGGCTATAAATTGCTGGGGCTTAGAGGTTGGAGGGCGCCCCCTAAAGATAGTGTCTGACATGTCAAACGCCAAGCTTGAGAAAGCTAAGATCTGCCCACCAACCAAGAGGTGGAGAATTCAGGGCCAGCGACCAGAGGACTGGTCAGGAACGATTATGATGCAGTTTGTTTGGTCAAACGATATGCAAGTGATGCATCGGCTTGCCAAAAGCCAGTTCTTGTGCTGCCGCACACTTTCCTCAGCCGGCTGCCAACCCCCCTTCCAGAGGTGGAAAGACCACTGGCTCCTTTACCTGCAGGTCGCCGCAAAGGCTGGCTAGAGCTAGCTAAGTTCCTCATGGGGTCTCCGAAGTTTGCTGGCAGGGCAAGGGCTGTTCGGTACTTGCTGAAAGCAGCTGAGGGTAGGTCCACTGCTTGTTGCCCCAAAGAGCCCCTGCCATGGCATGAAAGCGAACCCGATGACAACATTGTCCGCTTGCAGGATGCAAGCTTGAACAGCTACTTGCGACTTCACCCGGTAAATAAATTCAAGGCAACCTTGAGACGCTAGAAAGTGTTTCAGAGCGGCCACGAGCTTCTCAAGCACTTCGCAGGGGAAAGCAAGCGCTTCGCAGGGGAGCCAAAAATTATTCTGTGCACGTTGCAGATTCGAATTCTTGGCCTTTTGACGCATTGTCTTCCTTTGATTGCACAGTCCTACACATGCTTGGGTAGTTTTTTTCTCGAGTGGGCCCTTGTCTTCTTGGCCAGATCAGCAAGGTAGATGAATTCCGAAGATGAACGCCTTAATGGGGATGATCACAGCGCCCAAAAGTCCAAAGCTCAGGTATTTTTGGATCAGGTTCATGTAGATTGATTCTATTATTCGATAGTTTGGGGCATTTTTCCATCAGCATCTTAGGTCAGCTCCTTTGTCCCTGAAGAATGCCATCAAGATGGCAACAAGATCTATGAAACGGGCGGATAAAGATGAACCGACTCAGTTTGTGGCTTAGAAGCTATTGCTGACTGGCTCGCTGCATGTAAAAGCTGCAAGCTGAGCAGCCTAGGTCAGATTCACTTACATTGGCAGCTGCTGTGAAGTTGTCAAAGATAAAGGCCCCTCGAAGCTAAACCAGTTGAAACCTGCCTGCAAAACCATCCCCGCATTCCAGGCTCCTCAGCCAGCTTCGAAGACGACGGTCGAGCCAGTGGCAAAGACCTCGGGCCGGAAAGTGTATGGGAGTGACTTCCCTCCTGCCGAGTCAACAGCAGGGGCTCCTACGACGATTGCTGAGATGTTTCAATGGCCCTCCAGGTTTCATCGCTTTGAATAGTGGACAGTCTGCACACCCTAACCTTGACAATCCCCCCAAAAAGAGCCCTATATTATCCCAATATTACTCTATATATCTTCCCTAGAATCTATAGAACCCCCTAAACGTGATGTTTTGTCAAATTGGGCAGCGGAGTAGGCATAGCTTTCCGCCCGCAGGTTCATGAAAGCAGCGCAACGACGCTGGTCAACCTGCTATGTTGTGAGCAGAATGAGAAATCTCTCCTGGAGTCTAACTACTACTTTCAGTGGGGTGGGCTGTGTGGAGCTTGCCGCGAAGAGTGTTTCTTGGCAGACTGGCGAACCAAGGATCTTCAGATATTTAGCTTATTGCGATTTTACCATTCTGGGAAACAAAATGATTGATGTCTGAGGTTGAATCCGCCGCCAAGGACCTGCTGCGCCACAACCGCGAAGGCGAAAGAGCAGAAGAGATTGGGGTAGCAATTGGCCCTGCTACTGACTTCTGCAAGCATGCCCAGCGTGTGTTGCACGACACATGGCCTGACCGCTGTGTGTTCAAAACTCAGTTGCTATCAAATCTGAGCGTGCGCTGAATGGAGACCTCTGAATCCACCCCTCATGGGATTTAGTAACTACTTATAATGGGGCTTGTAAACCTACTTAGTCCTACTTATGATTGGGGTAACACCAGTTAGGAGAGTACAAATGGGCTCTAAAATCCTTGTTTTTTGCAGTTACTAAGTCCCGTGAAATTTCAAGTACCCACAAAGATCTATGGCCCCAAACCAACCCTATCTCAAGCGACTGCTGGCTTGCTGAGCCCAATTTGTGATGCAACACCTCGATTGATGGGTGCTCGGCCTTGTCGCGGCCCAGGTTCGACAATGTACTTGCCTGGCGTGGCCAAGGGAAGAAACTGCTATCCAGTGCGCTTTGCTCGACCCACAACAGATGCTGCCCCTTGCCAACTGGGAATCCTGGTCTGTCTAAGCTTTCACTAGAGGGCGCGGGCGCAAGCTGCACTCCTTTCAGCTACGCTGGGAAGCGCCAGCAGGCGCGTACAGCTTGAAATATACTTCTTAGATATGTAAAGGGCTTTCACAAGCATCGGCAGAACCCACTAAAACAACAGAATTTTTTGTGTAGCGGCAGAACCTCAACAGAACCCACACTCTTTCACTATGATAGGAAATAGGCGGGATCAGGATAGGTCAGGTGTAGGGGCCTTGCGTTATCGCCCGCAGACGGACGCCGCCGCCTTCCAGTCGCACATGGTGTGGTATGACATGAGGCTGAAGAATCAGGAGGACGGGCAAGCTTTCAACACAAACGGCCACTCGTGAATTCAACCTACAGTAGCCTCAGAGTAAGAGGACATCATTTTTTTCGAAAATACGCCTGGCTATGACATGAAAATCATTGAGGAGCGCTTCGGTGCTTCAGCTGCATATGCTTTATTTGCATCATCTTGCAGTCTAAGGTTGGTACCTGTCTGTTTTTCGGCAAAGGCAAACTGTACGACATCCAGTACATTCGGTTCTGCGCTCGCAATCTGGGCTATGCGGCGGCCAGAGGCCGGCTTTATGCAGTCCTCACAAGGCGTGGTAAAGTTGAATGGCTTACAACCAAATCTTTGGGCAACTTGGTCCGAACTTTCTTTGCGCGGCCAGTCATGACAGCTGCACGCCTACAAGTAGCTGTTGCATTCTGGGATGTTGTGTCCCTGCTTCAAAGACCTGAAACCCATTTATGATTGCCCTGGGCCACGAGGCTGAAAGCTACTACTACCAAGACCTTCCAGCTGACAAGCTCACAAAGTCTCAGCAGGTCACCAAAAGAAAGTATGACCAGATGTTTGGAAAGAAGAAGCAGGCCCACAGGAAACCATAAAAAGTGGAGTATGGTAGCGCTATCTGCGAAAATGTAAGAATTCATTCTCGAGATATTTACTTTGCTTAGATTGAGCCCTGGGAGGTCTATGACCTTTCCCAACAAGGGGAAGCGCACCTGAGAACCGAACTTCAAGATCGCAGCCTCCCCACTCTCAAACGGAACAGCGGCTCTTTGTACTTGAAGAAGAAACGAAGAAGCTTATCCGTCGAAGAGCTGTTCACTTCGATGAACATTCCGGTAACTGCTGCGCATGTGGCTTGGCTAGTCTAGTATAGAGTGGTGTGAGCCCGTCAAAGCTTCAATATCAACCCTTAATAATCCTGAGCCCAAACAGTTGGTACCTAATCGTAATTCAGAGCCCTCAGGCTCTAAACCCAACTTTTAACTCGGGCCCAGGCAAAGCTTGCAGGATCACCACAGGTGGTCGTTTCCCACCTGCCATCCCGGGGCATAGCAAGCAATTTAGCCGGAAACGCTATGAATGTTGCCCAAGTTGGGGCCATCTTGATGGCCGTTGCACTCTTCACAAAGCCTATTGAAGGCTAGATTTCGCACGATGTTTCATGAGTGTACAGCTGCTGTGCTTGATTCACAAAACCCTGAGAACCTCTATCTAGAAGGTGGAGCTGGACAGGCAATTCGAGACTATGCCACCGAACGAAAGGCGCTTCCCAAAAGCTAGTGCCTTGCAATGAGTTCCTATCCACTTGTCATACGCAGCCAAAGCACTTGCAGCGATGTCCTGAAATACCTTGCATCAAGCCTCACAAGGCCTGCCTCTAGCAAGGGTGAGCGTGCTACTTGCTACTTGTTGGTTAGCTAGACAGTGGCGGCGAGCCACACATGGGAAAACGAGCTGGGCGAACTCCAGCGAGCAATTCCGCAAAGAAGGCCAAGTCTGAAGATGACTGGGTCGGCAGGATGATGAAGGCTCTACAGCAGCTCGCTCAATCGCTTATTTCATGTAGAAACCTGTCTCTAACGAAGTGTCAACGAATGTCACCACAGATTAAGGTCCTACAATGTGGAGGAGGACCAGCACCCATGCCAGCTAGTCAACGAACACTTTGGAGCAAAGGCCAACCCGACCATCGTGACCTGTGTCAACCATTGGTTGAAGAATATGGGCCACCCTGAGGCGGGTCCTTTTCGAAATCAAGAAACTTCTCATCCATTGGTCCATAAGCTCTTGAGCAGAGACCTCATCTTAAATTGCTACGGGCTACGTACTGCTTATCAAAGCCAGGCTCAGCAACATCCGAATACCCAGACCAACCATTGTTCTGTAGTTGTGCAATCTAGAATTTTTCTATGAGTCAGTTTTGCAGAGGGGTCATCTACGGGTAAATGAGGTCATGGTGGACAAATGGAGCTTTCCGGGCGAAGGCGATCCTCAATCAATTCCGTTCTTGAGCCTCTATCTTCCCCTGCCTGTGGAAAAGGCTCCGCCCTTTGTCACTTGGAGCAAATTCTCTCAGTCTATCTGGTCGGAATGGGAAAACAACAGAGAACCGCTTGAGATCCGGGCTACTTCGTCCATGAAGCCCGGTGACAAGTTGGAGCCCTTCAGCGTTCCAGTGCGCAGAGGGTATTCAAGGGCCACGATAATTGGGTTTGCAATCTGTCAGACGCTTCTCGTCGAAGATGTTACCCAGTTCAGTGATGATGAGAAGCAGCAGTTCACAAGGCAAAACCAATCAAAACAAGTCGGAATTGCATTGGCATGTAAGGGTCTCATTTCTGACTTGGTTCTGGCAAAACCACGTCGAATCGCATATGGCAAAATCCTACCCTCGTGTAAGGCCAATCGTTGCAAACATATTTGTCGGATATGGGGTCCTGACTTGGTCAGATTTCAACATATAGGATTTGACTTGGTTTTGCCAGAACCAAGTCGGAAATCCATACCTATAACAAAGAAGATTTCTGATCTGCTTTGATTGCAAAATCCTTTCATCCCCCCAAGATTAATCTATAGGGTTTGAAGATAGATTATCCTCCATGGTCATTATCATCTTCCAAATAACAGCCTTACATTTCAAGACCCCTATAATGATGACAAGAGTTAAGGAAGTTATACCAATTGGTTGGAATATGAAACCTCAAGGTTTCTGATCTGGTTTTGGGAAAACCACGTCGGAATCTGAGGGCTTTGCATATCGCGGGGTGGCAAACCACGTCAGGACCTGCAGGGTTTTCATATCGCGGGGGCAGTAACCACGTCAGGAGCAGGGGGATTTCCATATCGCGGGGAGTTTGCCTAAATTCCATATCGCGGGGAATCCTAAGCCATTCCATATCGCGGGGAATCCTAAGCCCTAAGCCTGGAATTCTAAATCCTATATAAACCCTAAGCCCTAAACCTTAAACCCGAAATTCCAAACCCCAAACCATGAATTCTGATAAGCCCTAACACCTCGTGTTACCAACACAAAGTTATGATTATAGACCACCCCAATCTTAAATGAATTATTTCTATTTGGATGTGGGTGTTGGGAACACATGTGACAACAATTTCACGAATGGCTACATGTTTTATGATTTGGAATGCTCTTTGGGATATTCAAGAATGAAGAATTACAGCTAGTCCCAGGTCCTGCGACGGCTATTGTGGGGTTCTACAATTTATGTTATCCAAACGTCTCCATTTTTCTGCTGCTGCGGCTGCAACTGCTGCTGCTGGTGCTACTACTACTGCTGCTATTGCTGCCTGCTTTGGTTGAAGGTCGTGTCTTTCTCATTGTTCGGACAACAACTCTGAGCTGTGCGCTGCGTGGGGGAGATTCGTTTGTGTTTCTGAGGCCATGCTCTGCTTGCTTATCTTCTGGTATCACAATAATGCTTCCGAAGATCGTCTTTAGACATCATCTGAAAATCCAATTATTACACTATCTATGGCTTTGAACACTGGGCAGGTGGTTGCTCAGCGTGCTGGAGCTGAAGGTGATTTACGTGGATAGGATGCCCCATGAGTACGCCTATAGAAGCATACAAGTATCCCATCAATCCAGCGAGCGCCAGCGCAAGAACATTCTTCAAATGTCCTTGCGGTTCTACCAGCGGGCTTTGGAACTGTTCGCTGCTGCTCGCTTGTATGATTGCAAACCAGTACTTGCCCCTAACTACTATGGATGAACTGTTGTGCTTTTAGTTGGGTATTACTTGTGTTAATTGTAAAAGCTCAGTAGGATGCACTTTATCATCTTCAAAATGATGAGTTCCTTACCCAAGGACCACCCGGAGCGCTACAATGACAACAAGGTCATGGCAATGGACGATGCCTTCAAGGAGTTCAACTGCTTTGGATTGGCCGCCCAGTCTGACAGCTACAAGCTGCACGAGAAGGACACGGCTGCTATGAAGGTTCCTAGGCATATCTATCAATCAACTTCAACCCTAAACCCTTAGACCTAAATCCTGAACCCTAAACCCTAGCTTAGGTCTTGATCGAAGGCGTTGCTGAGGAAGGCCGACACCTGATGGCCAGGCATCTCCAGCAGTACACTTGGTCGGAGTGTTCGTACACTTTGGAGAATGTCAAGTGCCCAAGATGGCACCTAGGCTTTGTGCCCAAGGGAGTCACAGGAATCTGGGCAGACATTCTGCAAGTTTCGAAAACGAAACAGATTTTCTTTCTCCAGCGCCTCCACTTCGGCTTCTTGATCAAACGAAAGCAGGTCCGATCCGCCACGCGTGCGAGGCTGAACGCCGAAGGATGGGAGGCTCTCATGGATTCGACTTGCATTTTGATGTGGGCCATCGAGCAGATGAAGACCGCCCGGGGGGAGGATGGTCTGGAGCTTTTCTCCCCAGACGCGATCAGGGCAGCAATGCAGAAAGCATTGGAGGGGTGCCTGCTCCAAAAATAAACCAACTTTCTTAATACACCAAAATGTTCTCCTTGTTGCCTGGTGCACAATCAGGGACTACAACCCAGAGGCGGAGAAGACCAACCTCCTGAGGATGGAGAACATCAAGCCATCAGACCTGGGAATTTGGATGGACCATGCGAAGATGGCTTCCAAGCAGGAGTCTATGAAGATGGCCAACCAAACCATCGAGAAGTTGGACATGGAATCCATTCAAAAAACCTTCGAGGGCGACATGTACAAGATTGCTCACGACACTTCCTGTTTCGCCAAGTATGTGGAGGATGTTGGGCAGTGCAAGCGGGCTGCCCAGCTGGCTAGAATCTACCACGTTCGCGCCGAAAACCAGCGCGGCTCGCGTGCGGTTCTTGAGAACCTCGAATGGCACCACAAGCACGAGGTAGGATTGCTCACCGACAATGATGTTCTGGAGATGATCAAGAAGGCCAGCTTCAGAAACATCAACCCCTTCCGCTCTAACTTAAAGTCATTAGTAGGCAAGCCTTAACCCTAAACCCTGAACCCTGCGTCCTAAATCATCACCTTGAGCCCTGAATCCCAAGTCCTAAACTGTCGGAGTGATTTAAACCTCCCCTGAAGTGGATCAACCATCATCGCCCTGACGCGGCCATCGTGTGGTCCGATCTGACAAAGTACGGAAGGCTACAGTCAGATGACATGAACAACCATGCTGAAGCCCTGCGTGTGATCCTGAACCACTTCCCGAACAAATCCGTTGGGGTGATCGTAGTGCCCCTTCTCGCCTCGTCGAAGGTAGGCGGCGGAATTCGAGGTGAAGTTCGGTCTCCTGGCTGCCAATTTTTGTTGCAAGGGGGTTTGCTTCCATTTTCTCATTTGCCTTAACTTCCAAATCCTTAGCTCAGGCGACTGGAGGACAAACTAGATGCAAAATTCCTCAAGAACTTTGCAGTGAATGTCAAGATGGCAGAGCCCCCGCACTCCGGCAAGAAGGCAGCGCTCCTGTACCCGGCCATTCTTTGTTGGCCAGATGGTGCCTCCAGCATCTTTGAGGATTCCAAGCTGGTCAGTGACAGGCGCTTTCAACCTCCCTATCAACCTCCCTCCTTCAATGACCTGTTGTTTTCTGAAACCTTGGCCTAGTGCCCTGTCAGGTGCAATCGTGTTCCGGTAGAGTGGATTTCGGAAAGGGACTTCAAAGTTCCCACGCGAGCCAAGAATGGACTCCCCTCAACCCGAGAAGACTTGGAAAGGTGGGGAGTTGGGTGTTCTTCGGGGTGCTAGCAAAAAAATATACGCTGGGGTTGATATTGACCTGGATTGCAACTCCTTTGCCAATGCCCTAAACCCTAAACCCTAAGCCAGTCCCGCCATGAGCTCGATTTGGGGTCATCAGTGATATTCCCACATTGAATAGATATAAACATGGTTCTAGAGGTTTTGTAGGATTACCTTCGGAGTCATCAACGCCATCTTCGCCCTGTAAGTGAAATTCTTGTTGAACCCCTGGCAGGTCCCACTCAGAAGCCCAGGAAGCAGCTCAACATCTAGGAGGTGTGCACATGCCACAGACAGTGCTGCAGTCGCTGCTGCAGGAGCCACCCCCTATCTCTCTTCAGCGTTAGTTGAATGAAGAACCCGCAACTAGTTCCATGAAGCAAGCCCATCATGTTTTGGTAGGATGTTGATGGCATCACGGCCAACTCCAAAGTGTGCATTGTCAACTTGACTCCATACGACGGTGCGTTGGAGAAGGCTGCTTTGAAATCCCCGACTGAGCGCGGACCCAGGAGACCTCCATTCATTTTGTTTAGTAGATATAGCCCCCCAAACTTTTAAACCTTATTCATTACACCTACACCTATGCCAGGATGCCGAGCCTGTCTGTGGGCGAGGAGCACCTCGTGGTCAAGTACAGCGAGCGCATGCTTGCACAGTTCTTGATGGAGGATTGAGTTCTCTCCAACAGTGGGCCCCAAATATGAGATGTAACCATCGGTATTGTTGGGGTCAGGTTTGGAATATGGTTGCAAGATACCACAATCCAAGAACGATACTAGGTGCTCTAGAGGTACCCAGGTGGACCTATTTCATTATGTGTTGGCTGGGTTGAGCTTCAGCAGTACTAGAGAATTGCAACAGGAAGTTGAATTCGGAACATGTAATCAAACGGGCATTTCGACAAAGGGCTTGAACCTGCCGCGGGAAGGGATGTTGGAAACTCTAAATAGCATTTTTCCCCATGGGATCCCTTCTCAAGAAGCAAATTTTCCAGGACTGGCGAGCGGGAAGGAACCTCATCAATGCAACCCCCTTCAAGCCAGAGCCTGCAAATGATTCCTCGGAGAGCCCATCCGAACCTGGTTTCCACTTTGCAGTCCTATCCCGCACTGAGTCTGGGGCTGCGCAGCTCAACATGCCGGAGGCCATCCGGTCGAAGTGGGCTGACGATCCTGCCCGACGAGATCAGTGGAAGAAAGCTTTGGATGCCTTTGATCAGGCGCCATGTGGATTCAAAAGTAATCTTTCCTTTGACAGTTGAGTACTGGACATATTGATGGCACAAGGGTTTGACATTTGTCTCTTGCTCGAATATTTAATCAGGGTCACTCCGAGGGGAACGAACCAAAAGGAAATGAGCCCAAATCCTATTCTGATCAGCAGCTAAGGACAGGCGTTGCCATTCCTAGCGGCGCAGCTGTTGTGCCTGAGGATCCGGGGTCTCAGTCTTCGGGCCAGGGCATGGAGGTTGATGCTTGGGCGGGGGAGCCGCAAACCCTCGACGAGCTGAACAACAGATATGACAATGTCATGTCTTGCCCAGGACGCAATGCTGCATCTCTGGAGTTGCGGATTGTCCCAGCAATCGAGAAGGGCAAGTCTGAAGCAAGCGAGATTGCTACGGGCCAGCAGCATAAGCTGTTCATGGCATCTCGACCAACAAGGGTTCCCTTATTCTACAGCTCCCAAACCCCAAGCCCCAACCTACCCTAACTCTTAACTTTCAACCCTCTGCCTTGAACCTCTAAGATCCATTGTCGCGGTGAAAGCCTTAGAGAAATTGCCTTAGCCTAAGGTAGCCCTTGCGGATATCACCTTGGACCCGAACGAGTTCCAGATTGCGCATGACAGAGCCGCCTTCTTGGCGGGGGCAAAGGTCCAGAAACTCCTCGAGACGGGAGGCGCTGGGAAGTAGGGGGTACCGGGGTTTCTGTTTGCAATGTTGGGAGTCCCTCATTTATCAAGTAGGAGCTTTGAAGCCTCAACAGAAAGACAACAAGAGATTACAACTACATTCACTTTGAGTCACATGTTGAGTACCCCTTCTCATGAAGTATCTATCTTATCAGGAAGGTGTATTCTGCAGGACTAGGTGCACTCTGAATTGCTCGCATTATTTCAGGATCAAGCTGCTACCTGCCTTTAAAGTGCCCAGTGCCAGACAGCTGAAAATGGCTGATCGGGATGATTTGATGTCTTTCCTGATGGGCTCAACCTCGAAGATGCCGGCAGCCCCGCTGGTTGTTCCCACAACCCCATCCCCAAAGCTACGAGACCCTAAGGCAAGCCCTTCCTCAGGTTGCACCAGAACCCCTCTGACCCAACCCGAGAAGAAGAGCTCAGCCTCTTCCTCCACGTCGGAGAAGTCGAAGGCGAACAGCCTGCCATACCGGAAGGCCAGCACAACATCCCTAGGTGAAACTCCTAAGAAAAAGGATGGCATGCCGCGAATGAAGTCCCTACCCTTTGACTTGGCCACGCCAAACTCTGCTGCTGACCCCGAGCCCGAAGACAGCCAGATGCAGAACGAAATCGACTCAGTGTCCAGGTGCTTGGAGCGTGACTTGAGGATGAGCCCGGAAATCAAGAAGCCAAAGCACGGCAAAGGCCAGCGCAAAGGAAATGGTAAGGGCGGAGGCAAGACTACAAGTAAAGATGAGGACAAGGAGCAGGAGGATGAAGTCTCTGAGAACTCAGAGGAACTTTGCGAAAGGCTCTTCGAAGAGGCAGACAAGAAGTACGCCGAGGACCAGGAGGATGAGGATTTGAAGAGTGAGGATCCCATCGACAGTGATGAAGAGATCAACAAGCCCAAGCCCGAGAAGCAGAGCAATCCCAAGCCAGCCCCAAAGAAGGCGGACCATCACTCCAAATAGTGCGGTATCCCCAATGAGAATTCAGTAGTCTAGGCTTGACAGGAGGAATTGTTCATGAAATTTCCCATGCCCACATTCCCTTATGCCACATCCTGAGTTCCAAAGGTACGGAATTAGGGTTTAGGATTTAGGGCTTAGAAATTAAGGCGGAAGTAGGGTTTAGGTTCTAGGGCTTAGAACTTAGGATATTTGTGGTCGCCCCTAAACCCTAAACCCTAAGCCTACTAAACCCTTAACCCTTACCGTACTCCACAGGTAGCCGGCTCGCCTTCGAAGAACACCTTGTCCAGCATGGTCAAAGGCCTTGTGGGGCGGGATGCGGTGGCAAGCAAGAAGGCGAAAGCGGCTGCAAAGCCCAAGAGGAAGCCGGGTCGACCCCGAAAGAGTGATGATACCAAGGGTGCAAAGGGTTCCAAGGGCTCAAAGGCTACAAAGGCTACAAAGGATGCAGATGAGCAGGGTGAGATCACGAAGAAGAGGCCCCACACGGCCCTCATGAAGGAGTGGCAGAAGTTCCGCAAGGAGTATGTGACGAAGCACAGCGGCCAAAGAAAGGTGCAGGAGCTCAACAAAGAGGCTGCTGAGGAGCTTTTCGGCTTGTTCCATCATCATCGTTTCCAGCTTCGCTATGAAAATGCTAGAACCCTACTATGCCAACCAATTGAGGCTCCCTAACTCCAACGCCGTAGTCACCATACATAAACCCTATATAACAACCTTGAGCCCTAAGCTTCATCCTGAATCCCAGGTGGAAGAAGCACCCAATGCGTTTAGATGCCATGAGAGGTCTCTCAACGAGTGAGTTGAAAAGGCGCCGATGGGCCTGAGGTAGCTAGCAGCTACCATGATGATCATGAGGTTTTGAGATACCATGTGCCATGCGTGTGATTACATACGCTAGAGCAGGCATCCGATAGCTCAACTTGAATGTTGCCCCTCGAGGCAATCATTCTAGTCTTGTCTTGGGGCAACTCGTGCCGGGAGAAGAATTATGGCTCTACACGCGCGAGAAAAAAGAAGCCCTACTGTGAGATGCGGAGCATGTGGGAAATCCAAATTTGGGCTTCTTCAAAATGATAGAGCTTGAACATCTTAAATGCTCTATGCGGGGCCCCAACAAATCGTCAGGAGCTGCTACTAATTGGCGTCCAATTGTAGCTTTCGGACCAATGGCTCAAATCCTAGTTATTACATAGGAGGACCCCCCACCCTGTAATAGTGGTATAATAGGAATATAGAGGACCCTCATATAATCCTTCTTGTCGCTTATCTTCAGTATTGCTGGGTGGGTGGTCCACCTAAAGTGTTCCATCCGATTTTGGAATGCAATCCAGATCAGATTTGCCCCAAGAAGCTGCTCTTCATTTTAATCAATGTCAAGTTGAAAGGTTGCCCAACCCTGACACCGAAATCCTGAGGAAATTCAAGCCCTGAACCCATGTTCCGAAAAAGCATTGCCAGACCCCAACCCCCAAAGAATAATATTAGTCTCGAAACATTTATGGTAGTTTGCCTGTAAGGGCAATCCTACCTAGCAACCAATCCCCAAAACGAACTACCATGGAAGTTCAAACCCCTAACCACCCTGAGCCCGGAGGTGTTCTCAAGGAAGCCACGAATCTCGAGTGCAAGTGGAGATCCATGGATGCTCCTGTCGTTTTGGAAGTGATGGAGGGCGGCTCCAGGAGATTGCGGGATGCCCCGCTGTCTACCATCATGTTTCTGGGCTGGGGTTATTGTTGTGTTCTGTCTTCAGGGGAAAAGTAAAAATTAGTCTACTCCAAGGCAGCTTACAGTTGAGATGGAGAACAATGGAATCGTGGACTTGACGTACAACAGCCACAAGCTTGAACGACCCTTTGTTGAATTGGTGCTGGATTCTAGAGTTGTACATGAGTATGGCCAGAAAATACCTAGGTGATCCCTTCTCCATTACTCCGGATGATTCCTCCCTTCCGCTGGTGTTCAAGTATACCAAGCTGACGAAGCCCGAGAATTTCAAGTTCACCAGCGCCGCATCCTATTTTGATAACAAGGAGCTCATGGAAAGCAAGAATCTCAAGACAGCCTGGAGGGTGTCGTTCTCGCCGGATGAGGAGGAGTACCAGTTGCTAAAATTACCCCTATTTGGAGTGCCTAGACCCTACATAGAGGCTAAAAAAAATGTAAGTACATCCCCGCTTGGTTGCCTTGTAGGTTGTTTGTAGAATGATAGATCCTCTAGCGCTAGGTGGCCTTTGCAAACCTTGAACTTTTAAGCCCAAAAATGTGTTGGACCACCATCATACGCCGGAAACCTGATCCCAAACAGCAGGAAATTTCGCCAAAGAAGCCCTTGTACCTTCTTGCACGCGCGACCACGTTGCAGAAGCAGCAGGTCATGAGATTGTTGTGAGGGACAGTGCACAGAGTGCCTGAAACAATGGTGACTCCGTCATCAAGTTTTGATACGATTCTGTTCATGATGCTTTCAGTGCACGGAGTGCCTGATGAAAGGAAGTGCAACATGTGTTGCCTGCTGGGGGGCGCATCAAGAGCTTGTTCTGGGTCAGCTGCAGTTATACAGAAAAGCTATTCCCTGATAAATGCTTCCGAACAAACCTCCGAACCCTTGCCCAAAACAGCTCCCAGAGTGCTCCTTGCCGCCACCGGGATTGCAGCTCACGGCCATGCAAAAGGCGCTTCTTTGGATAGAGGGTTAAAGCTTTAAGGGTTAGGGTGTTTAGGACTTAAGGTTTAGGGTTTAGGGGTTGGGTTCGAGGGTTGGGTGAAGTTAGGGTTACGGTTTCTGGTCTAGGTCTTAAGATAGTTTGTGGTCAAGGTTTCAGGGTCAAAGCTTTAGCTTCAAGGTGAAGGGTTTGAAACTGTAGGGTTAAGGGTTTGGGCGTGAGGAGTTGGGGTGTAGGCTTTAATAAAAGGTTAGGGGTGACGGTCTTAGGGGTTAAGGGATGTTAAGGGTTTATGTAGCTGTTGAAGGTGATGTAGTGATCCAAGGCGGATTGGCAAGGGCGCCAGCAAGCGCTTGACCATATCTAGGGGTTGAAGCCCATATAGGGGTTATATGGAGGTTATATAAGGGCTATATAAGGATAATGGAAAGTACTACCTCTCAGGCTTCTCGGGCCCTGCAGTAGTCTACCCTGACAAGGTTCCGACCATGCAAGCCCCCAACCAATATTTAGGGCTAAGGCTTAGGGGCCCAATTATCTTACTGGTTTTTAGTAAGGAATGAGGGCAATATGGGGATACTGGAGAAGAAGAGAAATTGTTGCGAATCAAAGCCCCAATAGAAACCGAAGCCCTGTCAGTGATTATCCAAGAAACAAACACAAAACCCTCCTTGACCTTCGAAGCCTCAACACTTGCCCCTTATGAACCTTCAACCCTCGACCCGACCCTAAACCCCTAAACCCAAACGCCAACTTGCGCCACAACCTGGCTGTTTATTTAGGGTTTAGGGTTAGGTTTTTTTTGAACCTTTTTTTCGAATCACCAATCGCGCAGGGTGTGGCTACGGATACATCATGAGCAGTATGGGGATGGGAGAAGCATCATGAGCCCTCAGGGGGCATGGGAGAAGCATCATGAGCCATCAGGAAATACAAGATTTTATATCAGAAGCCCAGTCCTCAGACCCAAGGGCCCAGGACTCAGAACCAACTAATGTGAGTTTTGAGCTGGCGTTGAGCTCCAGTCACAGCAGGGACCTCCACGTGTGCTCTGAGAAGGACCATGCAAAAATGTTGCCAATAATCAGCAGGAAGGACTATTCGCCCAGCAACCCCTGGCGCATGCTGAAAGCGAAGTCGCCGCAGCACGTCTGGCATAGGCAGCAACTCACCAGGGGCAATCGGTCCTCCAATGATAGCTGCAAGCCTCTTAGACGCTGCTCCAAAGAAGTGTGCTCGTTGCTGCATGTTGGGGTTCGAACCATCACGCTCAAAGGCAGGGAGCACACCGGTAACTAGCTGGAAGGCAATTGCAAGCTCGACAAAAGAAGTGGCCTTGACAACATCGCCCTCTGCAGCCGCCTCATCGACCCATGGCATGCTCGCCCAAAACCAGTACAGCGGTTCCAGTGTGCCATAGCCATATCTCCAAGGGAGATGGTGAGCGCAGCCTTTATGACGATCCTTAGCACTCTGCGCCGCTCCGACTCGGTCAGGAAGAGGGCGCAGTTCGTGACACACACCGGCACTTGGCCGATCCCAACAATACCTAGGTAAGACAAGTTTGGGGTGCTGAAAAACAGACTGCTCATCCAATTGTCTCGGTTTCGATGCAGGAGGCTCAAGGGCCGTTGTGTCACCTCCACCCTCGCTCTCAAGTGCAGGCCCAGGCCCATCCTGGTCTTCAAGACTGGCAAGCTGCTGCCTTTGCCAAGCGTCTGTGCGAGCAGCATGTATGTCCAGCAAAGTGCGTTGCATCAGCTTGGTGACCCGTGCTTGGCGCCTAAAGCGTTCGGCAAGGTCGTCAGGAACTGAGTGGGCTGCTGCTCCTGCAACAGCCAAGCAATCCGCTTGGTCATTCCACTGAGCCTCCTTAGGGGAGGCACGGCCAAGGCCAATGTCAACTTCAGTAGCATGGCCCTTCACAAACGAAACCACAAGGAAATCCCATCCACGGTGCTCAAGAACTTGACGAAGCGCATGCCAAAGGTCATTATGCTCAGTCCAGGGTCTCGGGTGGTGCAATAGGAGCTTTTCAAAACCAACCTGCACAGCTTCATTGTCGGTGAGATACTCAGTAGCCTTAGGTGTCCAGCGAGCGACACGCAATAGGGCTCTAAGTTCTGCACGGTCAGAATCCTGCGCAGGACCTTCAAGTGGAAAAGCAAAATTGAGGGCATGATCTGGTCCAAAGAAGCCACCACAGCCAGCACGCGCAATCTGTGTGCCTTGGTTAGAGCATGCTCCATCACCCGCAACAACAAGCCGGCCATCGCGGCGCCACTCCGATGCCGGTGAACAACTGGAAGCCTGTGGTGGCGGGCCATCTTGAAAGTCAAAACCCTGCAACTCTTGCGCCAGCACAGCAATGTCCGGGTCATAGGGGGCTATGCCTGCATTCCAAAAACATGGTGGCCATGTGGCACGTTCAGCCTCAGTAGTAGAGGCCAACAACTGCGCACGCTGGTCTGCAAAAGCCACACAGTCCTTGGAGATGTGCATGCTGGTCTCAACCACACCCTCAGTGCAGAAACGACACGTCCCATGACCATGGCGAAATTTTGCAGCACGTTCCTCAGTGGCAACTCTACCTTCCCAAAGGAATCTCAAACGAACCCGCTCTGCGGCAGTGAGGGTTCGGCCAACAAGCGAAGCTGTAGTGAGCTCGTAGTTGATGCCGTCCTGGATGCCCTCAAGGTCTTTGCGAGGTGGGGCCTGAGCAAGTTTGGCTTGACGAATGGCAACCCTCAAATGATGCTGGAACCAACCAGGAAGAGCACATTGAAGATCAACATCGAGTGCATGCTTCGTGCGAATGAAGAAAGGTTCCTCCCACTCCCATCCCAGTTGCTCACACTGTCGATGGAGGTGTGCACAGATGCCAGCGCCCGACCAGTCGTCATGAGCATCACGGAATTCCCAAACCTCCCTAAAAAGTCCAGCAGCCAACGCAGAACGGCACAGCTGACGTCGGGCCATAGCCACTGCTTGGAAGGGGATGGCAAACTCCATGAAGATCAAATGGCCCTTCCAAGCCACACACATGGCAGTAGCCTTGCAACGAAGGTTTTTGGGGCCACACAAAACCCGCAACACCTGCTGGTCAAAGGCATGCGCGACCGCAGGGGTTGGCTCAGCAATCTCGAGCCCATATCGGGCACCAGCAGTTTTTAGCGCAATAAGCTCAGCCTTCTCCTCAAGGGGGACCGGCAACTTGGCAATGGGCAACAGGTGCTTAGTCGCTTCCTCAACGCGGCTGTCCTGCAAAAGGGGATCACGAAGGCCCTGAGTGGGGATGAGCACGCCAAGGAGCTTGTCCACATCAACTTGCCGAAGAAGAACACCACGAGATGTCAAAGGCTGACTCCCAGGCAAGGTCGTGAAGCCGACAGTCTTTTTATGCCCAATTTTTTGCCCAGTAAGCTCGTCAAACCGATCACTCTCATTCATCGACGTTTGGCGTTCAGCAGGAGTGTTTGCAACCACCAAGCAGTCGTCAAAGAAGTTGCCGACAAAGGCCTTGGGCAACGTGTTGAGCTGGCGCCGCACCCAAACTGCCATCACAAGCGTCACTCGGCGAACACTGCTAGCAAGACCTTGTCGGAAGGAGTTGGTGCTCGTCCAAAAAGGCCCAACAAGCGGCCCCAAACGGAAAGCAGTGCGCAGTCCAGCATTCAGCCGGCGATCAGCCTCAGTCCACTTGGGCGGAAAGCCCGTGGCGCGCTCCAGCTCGAAGGTGATCTCCCAGGGCAACCTGTCGAAGCATTTTTCCCGGTCCAGGAAGTAGCCAGCTTTGCCTTGAGAGTAGCAATGGGCGTGCTCAATGAGGAGAGTGACCACCCACACGATATCCATGGTCATGGCCTCAGGTCTGGCTCCCCTCATGGCACACGGCATGAGGCTCTCTAGCCACTCCTTAGTGAGGGTGTAGGTAGCCTTGTCCCACCCCACGTTCCACAAAGAGAGACACGTCAGAGGTCTTTGGTCCGCAGGCAGGCCCGACTCAGACTTCGGCACGAGAGGAACTGTGCCAAAAAGTAGCGGGGTTGGCCAGGCGGCACCATCCATGACAGCTTCAAGGCAGTGTTGCCTTGCATCGAAAGAGACTGATGGCAGAAGGTGTCCTTCATGGGTGGCCCAGCCATCCGTGCCTCCAACTTTGCGAGAGTCTCGGCTGCGTACCGCTTGCTCCAAAGCCCCAGCTGGAAGAAGTTGAGGACATTCAGAGTGCCAATCTCGCAGTTCCTGCTCGTATTCTTGCTGAAAAGCTTTCCAAGAGGGCTCAGGTGAAGTAGTGTAGAGCTGGAAAAGAGGTTGCCACGCCTTCAGGAGCATATCGTGCATGCGATTCACAGCAACCACAATCTCACCGGTCTCCTGGTCAACAAGGTGGCTGGTGCGTTTGTGAGCTTGTCCTTTGAGATACCGGCAGGCCTCAGCAGTTTTGTGCATCAACTTGATCCACTTGGTCTTTGCCTCATGGGCACGGCAAGCGGCATCCTCAGCACGTTGACGAAAAGCAGCTTCAAGACGGAGGCGAAGACCATGCCACCATCCTCTATCACCAGGGTCGATGTCAGGGAGCTCAA